TAGGTCATACCATAGCAGACATGTGGGGAAGTGGTTCGATCACGGACAATGTGTATCACAATGAAACCTGTCCAATTTCTCTCCCTTGTATACTTATAGGGCTCCATTTTGGGCTTTTATGTTGCTACGGGACATAGCTAAACCCTTTATGGATATCCTTGGGTAGATCGCATGCTAGAGAAAGGGCGGTGCACAACCCCGCCATTCATCTGGAATTACAAGCGAGGTGCCTCCTCGCACATATCTCAGAGCTGACTCCAGGCCAGCTGCTTCCCAAAGAGTCTCGTTGAAGGAAAGACATTTGCATAGGCTCTGCAGAGGCGTCTCCCCATCCTTGCATGCGCTGGAAGTAGGGTAGGGTTCGAAACTACAATTGGCGCAGAAATTCTTAGGGTTTATAGGGTATAGAATTGTATAGGACAGATGAACAGATTCGGGGATGGGGAAGTTGAGATTTTCGAAGCTCGAGGTATTACAATTTCCTGGGGATTTCTTCTTGGTTGGCTTCCTATCCTCTTATGAAATCAAACCAAGTAACGATGGGGATTGTCATGTCTTCGGCTTGTAGTCGTGGAAGCATAGACACAATGGCTCGGGCAAAGCCACTGGGATACTCCCTTAGTTGAGATTCTAGCTGTTGGGCGTTCATGCCAAGCATTGCACAAGCTGATCTTGGAGTGTATACTGCGAACCACGTCACCCACTTTTCTTCAAGTTGCTCTGAGTACCCACGAATCGCCGCCTTCCCTTTTTGTCAATGTACCGAATTGTCGTAGGATAAGAAGATCTCCCACCGGACAACTTCCCTCTATCCAGTTTACCTGCAATGCTTCGATCACTAACAACACAAGTCCTCTTCGGATTGCTGTGACCATGGTGTTTCATCCAGAATGACACTTTGTACACCTAAGCTGGCATACACACACGCAAGGAATGTAAACATGCCTTGACACATAGCTGATTGGGAACAAGTCGCCTTCCGTCCAGCCCTTTTCATGTTCCGCACAAACTGCAGAAACCATTTCGTCTGAAACATAATCGATGTAGATGGTTGCTCCAGAAATGTTGAGGCACCGGTAGCCACACATAGGAACAGGAGCAAAGTTGTCCTGCGCAAGTTGCAGTCATTAACCACTTGTCCTGGATAACATAGCTTTCTACCAACATACAAAGCGCACTGGTGAAACCAGTCCTTGATAAGAGTTTGTTTGCGCAAACCACTTTTGCTAGATCATGTCTTCCTTCTGGAGTGAGAATATCTCGCCCTGAACTCGCATTAATTGCCACAAAACTCGAACAGGCTGTGGCGAAGACAGCTAGCAGCTGTGACCAGTTGCCCTGGAGGATGAGTGCCACGCATAGCCTGGGATGGAACCACATCAGGTAGTCAAGCCGGGGCTTACATGTGGCGGTCAAAGTTTTGTAGGTTTCGGGCTCATAGGAGAATTTCTATGGGGGGGTTTCGAGTATACATAGATACTTTACGCAGGCTAGCAAATTGCACTTCTAAGTCGTACACAAGTGGCCCAAAGCCAGAATCTGAATTGATGTCGAATGGAGACTGCTTGTTGGGCCGTTCTCTTCTTGAAGGCGGTCTTGCTGCATCATACAGAATATCAACAGCCGTTGCCCTCCAGCCCACGAGTCGGGCATAACGTGCAATTTTGCATCTCCCACCAAAAAACTCAATCATGTCCCAGGGCTCTGATGGCTCAATGTCTATGCTTGTAGTCCATGTGATCAGCAAGACCAGCAAGAAAAACTCCTGACAAGCAACATTTGGAGGCCCAGACAAACCTTAAACAAGCCCATAATTACAATTTCTATGTGTGCCCCAACACCAAACAAAACGATGACAAACCTGAAGCCACCCCCCAATACAACATAACCCCTGCTAAAACTATGGAACACACCCTTGCTGCGCAGTCCTTGGGAACACGCAGCGAGATGAGGCGCCGCAAGGCAAGGTCAACTTGGAAAGGGCTGGTCATGGCAATTATAGATGCACCTACAAACCAGAAGAAAGATAAACGGTGACTCTCAATAACCGGTTGTGTATGACACCCCATAACAGGTGCTGAAAATGTTGTTCTTCTATACGCACGTTTCAGGTTCAATATACATCAGCTTCGCAGGATCCCCCACCCTGTCATAGTGTTGTACTAGGAATATAATAAGGCCCTAGTATAACCCCACTATATCCCTAATATGCACTATAGAACAGGGTGGGGGTCCACCTAAGGTGTACAGGGCTGCCAACAAATCCCCCAATAAACCCTATATTCCCAACAGGTCCCCGCAGTAAGCCGAAAAAGTGTCCACCAAAAAAGTGCACCAGGGTTTAGGGTTTAGGATTTAAGGTTTATAGGGGTATAGGACGTAGGGTTTAGGGTTCAAGGTTCAGGGTTTAGCGTGGAGCATTTTCCATCAGTCCAGCTAAACCATACCAGCTTTTGAACTGCCATCCCCGGCATGCACAAGCGTGTCGGGATGACTGAGTGCACCTCGACTTGCCAACCAGGCTTGACCCCTCTTCACGCCCGGCATGGAGGCACAAGTCCAACCTGAGCAGGCTCCAATGGGCATTTGTGAGAGGAGGGGGGCAACAACACGTCAAAAGCTTGGTAGCTTGATGTTGCATGTCCATGTCTTTTAAGGCTGCATTTGCAAAGCACATTTTTCTGTTGAAGCCCAGCGCACAATTTGAACTGCAGTGGGAGGAGTGCTACAACCCCGGAACCTAACACGATGTGACCTCACCACAGGCAGAAGAAGCAAGCGTGGATAGTCCAGACACCTGCCCCATAAGCGCAAGCAGGCCCTGAGCTCTTGATTAGAGGCTCAAGGTTCGCTCAAAACGGAAATAATCACTTGAGCAAAGTCAAGTCTTTGCACACCAGCACTCATAGCATTCTCCATGAGGCTTGCGCTTCAGTTAGCTCAGACCGCTGGAAGATTTTTCATGAACTTCTTAGCGGCTTTAACAGCAAGGTCGTAGGGGGCAACCGAGCCCTGCTTGATTTCCTTCTTCTTGGCCTTGAAAAGGACTTGGCACTCCTTCCAAAATGGATCCTGCAAACAAAGCCACGATACAAAACAGAATCAGGGCCATGAAGTAGTCAACAAACAGGCACAGCACGAGATAACAAACTGCAGGCGAAACAGTCCTGGAACTTGCCTGGGTAATCCACGAACATGGCAATCTTGTCGTCAAACGCAGTTCGGATTGCATTCCATTCCTGGTACTTGCCATCCGTCTTGGGCGCGGGGCGGCGTGCGAAGGACTTCTCCTTGATCTCTGCCTTGGGGCTGTCAGCCTCCTCCTCATTGCCTGCATCCTCCTCCTTCTTTTCGGGCTTGCTGGCCTTGCGCTTCTTCGGCTGATTGTTCTCTGCGGGCTTGCCTGCCTCAGCATAGACAGCCTCCTCGAGCTTTGCCACAGCGCGGGTAGCTTTCCTTGTTGCAGCACGCTCTTCTTGAAAAAGCTGCCACTCATTCCAATAATCATCTTCATCCCATTCAGGTTCGACGGTGGAAGCTTGGGGCGTTTGACGGCCCCTTCCACGGCCGCGGCCCTTTCCTCTGCCTCGTCCACCAGTGCCACGCTTGCTGGAGGGTTTTTTCCCATCGTCTTCCCCCTCTTCAATGTCAGCACCCTTGCGCTTGAGCTTGGTCTGCTCCAGGCGCATGGCGAAGTCCTGCTAGGGGAATCTTACAATCCGAGGATGCATCCTACAGAAGAAGTCTCGTGCATGAACATGCCCTACTATGAAAAACTGGGGAGTAGCTTGCATGCAAGCCTCATGGGTCGCTGCATCAAAGCCCTCCACATGCGAGGATCCGGGCTTCTCGTCATCATTCACGCAGGACACCTTGTCAATCTTCTTCGGGTCCACCAA